TAAAACACGTCACTATCTACCTGTCCAGGTAAGTTAAACACGTCACTATCTACCTGTCCAGGTAAGTAAAACACGTCACTATCTACCTGTACAGGTAAGTAAAACATACCCTTATCTAAAGATAAAAATATTCGCGTCTACCTCGACCGGTCTATAGGTAAGCACAGCACGCCCTCGTTTGTCCCAGTCCAGGTGACGAAACCACGCATGTTTCTACGTGTTCCGGTAGGTAAACCGTATCCGCGTATACCTGTATAGGTAAAAATAACGAGTCTTCGTCTACCTATGCAGGTAAGAATGCCGGTTCGTCATTTACCTTCACAGGCAGGCAAACTGCTTACTCATCTACCTGTAAACGTAGGAATACCACTTCTTTCTCTACACGTGAGATTACCGCTTCTTCATGCACCTGTGCATATGTAAGGATACTGCTTCGTCATCTACCTTCCTAAGCCGAGAAACCGTTGATTCATTAATTTGCGTAGGTGAAGAGGGCGAGAGGCATAGAGTGCGAACGCTGATCACAACCTAGATCATTATAGTATATGAAGCGTATCGCGCGCGCTTCGCAATAACACGCAACCTAAATACGCATGGCTTCCACGCACAGAGCGTGTGCTATGCGAAGAATAGCCAAAAAAATATGCGTGAGAATTAACGCGCGAGAATTTACTCGCGAGAAAAAATGACGCGTGCGAACCACGCGATACTTATCGTCACGCGCACGCGCAGAGGTTATACGTTGCGCAACGCACACACCAGAGCAAAATGGAAAATTTTGTTTTCCAGCGTTTCGCGTTCTGCTCGGCGAGCAAGCGCACACACGCCACCCGACACAGCACACAGCTGAGCAAAACATACAGAAACACTGCGTACAGCGCCGCTGTCACATGACATCCAAAATGGCTGCCGCCATAAATAAACGTACAAAAATTCTTACAATTCTACTTTTAATGCGTATTCGACGAAGAAAGGCCCGTAATCGCCAGGTTTGGGTTCGAAAATGGATAGGTAGACGAGAGGAAAAGGGGATATTTACTAATTAGCTCACAGAATTGAGAAAGAAGGATACGGAAGCATACCGCGGATATTTGACAAAATGATTTGACGAAATGACATACAAACAGGCCACATTTCCACTAAAAATCTTCATTTTCCGATCACCACGCCGGCTCGATGGTAGTCGCCATTTTGTTTGTCATGTGATATTATTAAGGATATTGATTGGAGACCGTCTGTGGCGTTTCGCTGTGTAGCAGAACGATTGACGCACACACCCGAGCAAAACGTACGTTCAGGCGAAAACACGTTCAGCGAATCAAACATTGCTTGTTCAGTTGAACATGCTCAGCTGAGCAATGTTTTTTGTTTCGGGAATCCGCACACAGCCACGAACATCGAGCGAAACACGTTTTTGCTCCACGTTCAGGTGTTTTGGTCGGATGTGTGCGTTGGGCTTTACGCGTGAAAGCGCGCGCAGACGCGCGCGCCGACGGTATTGCTTAAATGACGAACCGATCGGAGCTTTAAAAACGTAATTATCGGCTGCTGCGGGGGGTTTCTCCTCGCACTCTATCCGCACTCTTGAACCGTACGTCCGCGCGCAGTGCGAGGGTTTCCAGCTTCAGCCGCGATGCGCCCGTGACACGCACGCACGTCGCGCGCCGCCATAATATGTGTCACCCCAACGAAAGCAAATCGTCGCCCGCCATGTCCATAGGTCTGTGTGTGTGGTGGTGTGGGGTTGCTGTCGGTGTGTGGTTTTTGTGTGTGGTGGTGTTGTGTTTGTGGGTGTTGTGTGTTGGGTAGGCGCGTGTGTGTGTATGTGCTTGTTGTGTGAGTGTGGTGTCTTGTGTCGGCTTGTGTGTGTGTGTGTGTGTGTTGGTGTGTGTGTGTTGGTGTGTGTGTGTGGGTGTTGTGTGTGGTGTGTGTGTGTGGTTGATCGTCCTGTGTGTTGTGGTTTTTGGTTTGTGTGTGTTTTTGTGTGTGCTGTGTTGTTTTTTTGTGTGTGTGTGTTGTTTTTTTTTGTTGTTTTTTTTTGTGTTTTTTTTTTTGTATTGTTTGTTTGTTTTTAGTTGCTGGTGTTTCCATTTTTTGTATGTCGTGTGTGTGTGGTGTGTGTTGTGTGTGTGTTTTGTGTGGTGTGTTGTGTGTTGTGTTGGTTGTGTGTGTGGTGTTGTGTGTGTGTGGTGTGGTGTGTATTTCTTTGCTTTGTGTGTGCGTGTGCTGGGGTGTGTGTGGCGTGTGTCGCTGTGTTAGACACGTGTGAGAGTGCAGGCCACGCACCGGCCTCAGCGGATAAAACGCGTGTAAGCTGTACATCTGGAGAAAAACACATCCGCTCTTGACTTAAAATGTCCATTCAATGGCTTGTCATTCATAAATACTCGTCTATCTCTCTCCTCTATCATCCATCCAGGCGTCTTTTCTTATCTATCTATTATCTTATCTATCTATTCTATATCTATCTATTATCTATCTATCTATCTTATCTATCATCCTACTATCTATCTACCTATCTATCTGACATCATATCTATCTACTCTATCTATCTATCTATCTAATTAGTCTATCTATCATCTATACTAGCTATCTATCTATCTATCTATCACGATCTATATAGCTCCATTCCATCCCATCCATCCATCCATCCATCCATCCAATCCATCCATCCATCCATCACCATCCATCCATCCATCCATCTCATCATCCATCCATCCATCCATGCATCATCCATCATCCATCCATCTATCTCCTCCATCCATCTATCTATCTATCTATCTTATCTATCTATCTAATCTATCTATCTCTCTCTATCTCGCCTCTCTCTCTCTCTCTCTCTCTCTCTCCTTTTATGTTCACTCGCGCTGCCGTAGAATAAGGCGTGGGAGAATCCTCCGGCCACCATTACGAACTCACGCTGCGCAGTGGTGTGTGTTGCAAGGAAAGGTCACATTGCCATTCGTAGAGGAAGTCGTATCTCAAGTGACGTGAGTGTAAAAAGTTGCAGAGAATTCGGGCATAGACATTTTGAATGTTGGGCGAATATTTCTTCTTGAGATTCGTCGAGGCCTGTTGGCAAGACTGATACTGTTCATGGGGGAAGGAGCCCTACAAGCTTTAATATTTCCCTGAGCGAAATAGCGACTTTGTGAATAATCTCCCGTCCAGTGTATAGGGTCTAAAGCTAGCTGTGACAAGATCCATTGCACTGAGCCTGCCATGTCTGCTTTCTTTATGCAATTCAGTTCAGGTCGATCCTGTTATTTTGGTCAGTGTCGTTATACGTGATGTTTTAAGGGTTCGTTATCGGTGAGTTATTTTGGTGATTTAGCATGGGGATTAATGCTACAATATAAATCACTTTTTCATTGTGTTGCAAATTAAGACATGAATTCGATATGATTTTGTTTGTATGTTTTAGACTAGCTAAATCTATTGCGAATGTCTAGGCAATATATATGTGGCCAGCTTGTTAACTAGATTTTGAATTAAGAATAATCAAACTGCAACAACTCTATGATGTTGTAGTATTAACCAAATTAGGCAAAGTG